AATCCCAGCAGGGATTTCCATAGGTGGTCCGTATGCTGTTCTGAACAAAGCAAGTGATCTCTTGGTGGTTGGGGGAATAATGCCTAAAACATGTCATGTCTCTGGCTCCTCAAAGAACTACAGCTGGAGTGCCGAGGCTGGAAGTGGAGGTGATGTATTATGTATTAAGGTGCCTCACTGGGACTGGTGGGAAGCTGGCCTTACAGAATATTAATATCTCATTTGTTTGCTTTTAAGGATGTGTCCTCAAGGGTAGGCGAGGATGTGCCCCTCTGATGTGTGCTTGTCTCGACATAATTTTTCTCACCTGACTTTATGTTGGTGGCTGGTGTAGAGTTGGGTCCCTGCTGGGATTTCACTGAGCTGTTGGAGCTGGTCGAGGTCTGTTTACCTGAAGTGTGTGCTGGAAGGGCATCAGCTCCCCAGTTCACTCGGTTGAACTGGGCAAGGACATAAAGCAGGATGAGATGAAGGCATCTTTCTCGGTTTGTGCACAAAAGTAGGAGTTGGAGCTCTGCAGTGTATTATCTGCTGCCTTTTGTATTCAGCACAAGTAATGAGGCTTGGACGGCATACATTAGCACCCTGTAACAGAGCACTTGACGGCTGGCAGTTGTTTGACTTGTATGTTGTGGCTAAATCTTCACATTAAAAGATTTGCAGTTTTTTTGTTCCGGTTCCCTTATGAATTGGCAGGTGAATTGCAGAGCTGAGCGCACCCAGGACTGCTCAGCCAGCCAAGGCTGATACCAAGCTTGTGCTTGGAGGTGTGAGAAGCTCTTTTCAAAGGCCAGACAGGTTTGTCTGGGGCTGACCTGTTCATCTCCTGCTCTCTGCTTTATGATGCATGCAGCTGCTTTAGCGTGTGAGTGTCCTGCCTGTGTCAGAGCAGAGTTATTAATCCAAGTGTGTTTAAAACTTGGTACTTTTTCCCCCCCACACACACTGTTTCAAGAATTTGGGTAGAAACATAGCCATAACTTGCCAAAGACAGGAAAAAAAAAGCAGCTAATTTATTATTTTTTTTTCTGGGGGGGTGTTGTGTTGTTTTCCCCAAGTAAGCTGGCTGGGTGAAACTCTTAAAAAGCTCTCAGAGGGAGTAGCTGCACACAGCTGGAACAGAGGGGGAGCTTAATCCTTTGCAGCATGTCTCCACAAACCACTGGTCCATGCAAGGAGCAGCTATTGAAGGAGAGGCATCTGCTCTGCCCTGTGCAGGTCCCCTGCAAGCCTGCCTTGCTGGAGTGACCATAACAGGCTGGGGCTCCTTCTGAGCTGGCTTTTGTTGGGCCCCCCAAGAGCTGATCTCAAACAGGTCTCCTTAATTCAGAGGGGTTAATGGTTTAATAACTACTGCAAGTGCTAATTGTATGGAGCAGGCAAGCAGCCTGGCTCAGAAAGATCCAGCTGAGTCTGAGACTACTTCAGCTGGTGACCAATTTATATTTATTGTCCCTCAGCTTCCTGACTTCCCCACTGAGGTAGTTGGCTCTTATTCTTGTGGGGAGCTCCTGGAGATGTCCAGCTTTTACCCCTGTTTTCAGCCTTGCAGTCCTTTGTGTTATTTTCCAGCCTACCAGGTGTTAAAAGAAAAGTTATTATTTTCCATGCTAAAGATAAAGCTCCCTGGCTGCCTGCAGTTGCGCTGCCTTTGCGGCTGGAGGAACTGCATCTCCTGGGATTTGTTGTTATTAAGTGCAGGGGAAGTAGCTGGCACTGTCTCTTGCCCTCAGTGTGTGCTTCCTATTGGAAGCAAGGATTAGTTTTCCACCCTGAGCCTGGCTGGTGCTTGGCCTCCAGGGCTTCAGCTCTGAGGATGCCAGGTGAAATCTGGGGACAAGGAGTTCCTGTGGCATGAAATACTGAGTTACTGCCTTCAAGCTGGTAACAGAAGCTCAGGTTTACTACAGAGGAGGTGCTTGGTCAGGGCAGTGTGCTCCAGCCTGCTCTTACAGCCTGGCTGGGGCTGGAGAGCAGGCTGACTATAAAAATAGCGAGATGGAAGGATAAATGTGTAACTCAGTGCGGCTTGGGGAACAGACTGCTCTGCAGCCAGCTACCTGCAGCTCCTGCATTCAGTGGAAGTGCTTCAGCAAGGTGTCAAACTCTGCTTAAGGAGATAGCCAGGTCACTGCTGTTCATACACTCTCTAATCCAGCCTCTTCCTAAAGCTAAGTAGATCTTAAGCCCTGACTAATCTTCTTTGAAGTGTGAACCCGTGCCATTATCCTGCAGCAAGCTCCATGCTGCTATCTCCTGCTTTCACTGAGTGTGAAGGTCTAGGTTAGCTTACATCTGGCTCTTGTGGACTTCCTGAGCAAATAAGTCTCCAATGTGATTTTTGCCCTGTAGAAATGCAGGATTATGACCAGCAGGGCTTTTCAGACTGGTAGAAACAATATGAAGCTGCCTGAAGGACTCCAGAACTCTTATCAGGCTGGTATTGAGTTGCCTACATTATCTACCACCCAGAAGGAAAGGTTCTAGTAAATATGGAGTAAGCTTGTTGGGAGGAGATGAGCATTTTAGCTCTGCTAACCTGTCCTGAATATCTTTGGCTATTTGGGAGCCTAGAGCTAGAAAGCTACAAAATGTGTACAGATGTGTATATACATATGTATAATGTATATGACTGCAAGAGAAGTGCTTTTTCAAGTGCAGCTGGAGTTCTGTTTATGTTTAAGCACTGCTGAAAGCATTTGTGCCACCTAAATGCTCCTGACTTCTTGAGAAGCTGTATTTAAAGCCAAACTATTTTTTAAGTATAAAAAAACCCTACTTCTTGATGTTTCAATATGCCTGCTCTGAACAGGCACTTGCTGAAGGGGTGTTGAGGTGAATTATATTCAGCTGCATGGTAAGGCAGAGTGTTAGGCACTAACAATTTAACTTCCATAATATATTCTTAGTGCTTTTTGATTACAGGAATGCATGAAGAGTTAGCCTGGAAGAAGAGCTAAATATTGTCAGTTTTCAGCTATTTTTTTGGATAGGGGGGGATAGAGAAAATAGATGGGTGGCTCCTCATCCTTCAGAGATAGAAGATGCTAAAAATAAAGTGGAAGGAATCTAGGCTGGTGAAGAGTTTTGTGGTGGCTTCTGCTTGTCCCCGAGCACCTGGTGCATGTGTGTGGCCTGTGACAAGGAATTATTCTAGTAGCTCAAACCACTGGGATGAGGCTTCAGGGAGAATGGAAAAAGTGACTCAGTGTGCCCTGAAGGCTCAGCCAGATGCTGGAGCCTGCAATGGTCGATTCTGAGCTGTGTTGCTGCACTCTGTGGGTACAAATGTGAGTGATACTTCTGCCTGTGCTGTTTGGGTGGGGAACTGGGGAGTGTGGCAAGTTTAGGGATTTATCCTGGTGCCCATGAGCTGTGAGACTGCACAGGCTGAACTTTGCTGGTCTTTGGAAGACTTAGGGATGGTTGTGACAACCCCAACCTTTTTCCTTACTGATGTTTGTAACTCCTGCAGCCCAAAGGGAAGAGCAGTTTGCTTGGGAATGATGAAATCTCACCTCATTCCACCCCCTGCCATGGGCAGGGGCACCTTCTACTATCCCAGGCTGCTCCAAGCCCTATCCAGCCTGGCCTTGGACACTTCCAGGGATCCAGGAGCAACCACAGATTCTCTGGGTAACCTGTGCCAGGTCCTCACCACCCTCAGTCAAAAATCTATTCCTAATATCTAATCTAAACCTACTCTTTGTCAGGTGAAAGCAATTTCTCCTTGCTCTGTCACTCCATGCCCTTGTCCAAAGCCCCTCTCCATCTCTCTTGGAGCCACTTTAGGCACTGGAATATGTTCCAATGTGTTCCTGGAGCCTTCTCCAACTCTCTCAGCCTGTGTCTGCAGCAGAGGTACTCCAGCCCTGTGATCTGCTTGGCTCTTCTTTGGACTTACCCCAACAGCTCAAGGTCTTTCAATATGCCTGAATATCTTTCAATAGTTCTGGGGGCCCCAGAACTGGAGGAACACGTGAAAGAACTTGAAACTGCTGATGGCTGTGGGCTCTTGCAGCAGGGCTTGACTGTGCCCTTGCCTAGCTGCCTCCTGGAGCTGGGAGGAGGAGCACCAGCCCAGGCTGTGTGCGACAGAGGGATGTTTGTGTGTGTGGGACTGGTGTGACCAATGTGTGGGGCCTTGGATGGCATGGGCTTCTGCTCTGGAGCGCGGGAGAAGCATCCCAGGACTGAGGCACGTGCCCAGGGGAGGTGGCTGGGAGCTGGAGCTGTGTGCCTGGAGGCAGCAGAGCTTGCCAAGGGCAGGCTGTCAGCTGGCTGGATCTCTGCTGGGCTACAGGCTCAGTGCTCTCTTGGAAACTCTTGACTGGCACAGTGATTCTGGGTGTGGAACTTTCTGGAAGTGCCTCCATGGTGCAGTGCAGCATGGGCACTGTGCTAATGCAGCAGTGCTGCTGGCTGTGCTGTGGCTTCCTCTGTGGGGCCAAGGACCTCAGCCAGGACATGATGCAGCCCTAAAGCCTCCTGGTGTGGCTCTGGTCCTGTGCTGTCCCCCACAGACCCATCTTGTTCTCTGTGCAGGGTCCTTGCTCTCCTCCTGTGCCAGTGCACAGAACAGGGCTGGACATAGAAAACCTGAGACTTCATGGCCCTGACAAGCATCATTCTTGAATTCTTGATTCTTGGTTCAGGACAAACAGGTTGATCCACAGCTTTGCTTGCAGGTCTGATGCCTGCTGGGTAGAGCATAGCACTCTGCTGCTGGGGTGAGAGCTGGGCAAGGTCTGTCCCGGGCTTCAGAGCAGCATTTGGTTCTGTTTGGCATCTTCAGGTAGGGTAGGCTGAGAACAGTAAAACAGATGGGGGAATTCATTGCTTGGAATATGTAGGAGGGGTCACAACTGGCCATAGACTTGGTCTCCCAGTTATTTAAGGCCCAGGGTCCATGGTTATTTATGGGAATGTGTAATCTTGGTTCCTTTTTCCCCTTCTAGGTCTGTGGATTTGTCAGCCTTGCAGGCTTCTGGATGCATCTTCCCTCAGCCATGAGGAGATCAAAAGGATTTAATATCTGTGTGGTCACCTGCAGCATCCTGCTCTTGTCCTGCAGCCTTCTATGCCTTGCTCAGCCTCTGGAGGAGACTGGTGTGACAAAGGTCCAGCACGGCCCCTGGGCAGGGAATGGGCTGGAAGATGAAAGGACAGGCATGGTGGACTTGAAAAACAATCTGGGCCCTTCTGAGCAGGCAGCTTCTGAGGAGCCATGTGCAGTGTCAGCACAGCCATCTGGGACACCTGTGGATGAAGCTTTCACTGCAGGAGGAGAAGCTCTCCCTGCCAGCCCGAGCCGTGTTGTCCCCAGCAGCCAGGCCCTGGGGGCTCACCCCTCTGCTGGGGCACTGCCTGCTGTGCCTGAGGAGGAGCTGGCTCCCACTGAGGCACAGCTGGACGAGGATGAAGCACTCAGGGCCATGCTGACCACAGCTGTGACCACGCTGAGCCCTCCAGTCCAGGAGGAGTCTGGTGGCCCTGTTGGTGACACCACAACAGAGGGTGGTGTGGCAGTGGAGCCCAGCTCTGCTGGCCCCTCAGCAAAGCCCCTTTCTGGGACCACTGTGGAGGAGGAGGAGGAAGCAGAGAGCAGCTCCCAGCCCACACTGAGCCCCAGCTCTCCCAGCTGGGAAGCAGCCAGTGGCCACCCTGTCATCCCAACTCCCCAGGCTGTGGGTGTGACCTCTGAGCTGGAGATGCCAAGACCCCGCACAGGGAGCCCTCTGAGATCCCTGGCTCCACCAACATCTGTGGCTGCCAGACATCCCCTTGTGGCAACTGAGGCCTCCCTTCAGCCAGAAGCAGGGACAGGTGTCGCACAACAAGAGCTGTCCCCCACGGCTGGCACTGTCACCATCGCTCCTATGGACACTGTGCCACCTGACTGGGATGACACAAAACTGGGGGACATCAGTCAAGGGGGAAGCATGTCTCACCAGGAGGTGACAGAGGAGCTGGGGACAACAGAACCATCCCAGACCACTCAGGAGGATGTGGAGGAGGAGGAGGAGGATGCCACAAGAGCAGTGCCCTCCCCAGTGTCCCCTCCACCAGTGCCTGGGCTTGCCAAGGAGAGCAACTGCACAGTGCCAGTGCAAGGGGAGGAGCTGCCAGCAACTTCCACAGGCAGCAATGATGCCTTCCACACTGGGAACCTGTCGGATGCAGACACGGCTGATCTTGGCTCGCTGGAAAACATAAGTGCAGTCACAGCAGAGGAGGAGAAGAGCGTCCCTCCGTCACAGCCGGAGGCTGCTGTGGTGACAGATACCCAGCCTGAGCTCTCTCCTACTCTGGGGAGTTCATGGGAAGGTAAAACTTGCCTGTTACAGGCACTTGCCTCTCATTTCTGGGATTTTAAGTGAGTTGTACCAAGCAGCCTGTGAGCCATTGATGTTTTTAATGCCTTTACAAGGCTGCTGAGGTCAAGAGGTCTGTGCAGAGAGCTGCTGGCTCTTGTCACAAACTCCTCGTGTTGCCTCCTCACCCCATAGTGAAGCTGTGGCCAGGCTGTGTTGTCCAGTGCTTGTCCCAACTCTCACCTGCAGGCAGAAATCCTCCTGCCACAGGCTGATGTTGTCACCTTGCCCTGCACATACCTCCAGAGATGGCATCTGCAGCCTCATGACAGTATTCCTACTTAGTGTTTAAAATATAAAAGAATTGCTAAAAAAAAAAAAAGGCTGGTCAGGTGCTGGGCAATGACATGTTTCTGGCTTGATGAGGACTTTTTAATTGCTGGGCATCTTTATTCTTCCCTCTTTGGCTGCAGATGCAAAATGATGATTTCCCTTCATTGCATCCAAAAGACCTAATTTTTGCTGTAAAAGAAGGGAAGATAATTGCAGGCTGATGCTGAAACCTGACTGATTAATTTCTAGATTAATTTATAAGCCCTCGACTTGTCAGCAGGTTCCCTCTCTGCTATTTCCCAGATGTTGGGTAAGCAACACTGTCTTTAGGACTTGTGCAACAAAAATAAACCCTTCTGCATAGCTGAGGTTTCAGTGGGAGCTGGTCACTAAAGGCTGGACCTGCTGCTGGCACTGTGGCTCTGGAATTTTTAATGCATGGAGTTGTAGTCCTTTTATATTGCGTCAGATGTGTGCTCTGCTGCTGTCAGCTGTCCTGTGAGTGTGCCCTGACACCTGTTCTTGCTGTAGGTGTTACTCAGGAGGTGACAACAGCTGCCCAGGAGGCTGATGCTGCTCTCTCAGCTGTGACAGAGGTGCCTGGTGCCACGCAGGGAGCAGGGGCTGCCAGCTTTCCTCAGGAGAACAGCGGGGAGGACACCCAGATGCTGACGGCTCCCAGTGCCACTGAGGTGCTGGTGGCGCCTGGTGCCTCCTCCACAGTGAACCCTGTGCATGCAGAAGGTAGGACTGTGCTTCAGGGACTCACTTCCACACAGGATGAGATGGTACATCTGAAACCAGTGTCAGAGCCTGGACACTCCAGTCTCGACACAACATCCTTATTGAAGTGACTTCTTATTGCTAAGTTTCTGCCTCTAAACCTGGGCTACTGCTGTGTTCTGCCCACACTGAGATCCACCACATTGGAATTTGCCAGCACATGGATTTTTTTTGCCCCAAATAAGTGAAGTAGAGGTTAAAAAAAAATGCCCCAACCAAACAACCCCACCATCTGTCCTTTCTAGCGAGGTGCCTTTAGCTTTAGACACTTAAACAGTTTTTTACTTATGGAGGGAGAGTTCTTACTTCTGGAACCCAAGGCAGTCACAGATTGCTGATGCTCAGTCCAGAGGATGAAAATGTTTCATCAAGATTACATGGGAGCCAGTGGTGGGGGAAAGACACCCTCCTGCAGGAGCCTGGCAAGCCCTTGGGTGTGGAAACCTGCACTGATACTCGCTTTTCCTGAGCAATGGTGGGTTATTCTCAGGTTGATGTGGCTCATACAGAAATGCTCTAAGCAGTCATGTTCCTGTAGCTGCTGCCTGCTGGTTTGGTGTCACCTTGGCAGGTACATGTTGGAGCCTGTCTTCCCAACAGGAGTGTGGCAAAGGGTCCCTCAGCATGAGGCTGACTTTGAGCTGGAGTGTATTTCTGTGGTGGTGGGGACCATTGTAATGAAAATGCTGCTGGGCAGCTTTTCTGGTAATTCTTGTGTTGCAGGGCATCAAAAGAAAAAATGCTGTTTGTATTATATCTCTGAATTTAGGGTCCATTTGTAAGGGGGAGAAGGTTCTTCTGGCAGTTTCCACTAATTGAATTTGCTTCTGGGATTTAATTATAAATTCAACCAACTTTTATCTTTGTAATGAACTATTAGATCTGTCACTTGGCTCAGTTCTCAGCTGGTGTCTTGGTGCTCTGATCTTGTAAGGGTGTGGTGATGAGTAGTCCTTAAAGCAATAGAATTAAAACCTTTAAGGGTTCCCTCCTCGTTAGAGGGAACCTCCTTTGCTGGCTGCCCTTGAGGAGAAAGTTTCATTACAGCAGAGTCACATCTCAAAGGAAACGAAAGTTTAGTGACTTCCTTTGAGTTAAATTTTCATTAAGGAGTTTCTTGTTTTTTTTTTAAAAAAATATTGTTAGGCTGAGTGGCTGATGTTTCTTGTCTTCTGTAGATCTCACAGATGGGATCCTGGTCACCAGTGAGAAGGTTGTTCCAGCCACTGGTGGGATGTCTTCTAGCCCAGCTGGACAGACAGAGGAGCCATCCAGCAGAAGTGTGGTCCTGGTGACTCCAGCATCAGTGGCCTCCTCTGTCAGGAGAACAGCTCTTCCCTCTGTGCGGAGGATCAGCACGGCCGTGACCTACGGGCTGGACCGCCTGGAGTCAGAAGGTACCCCTGAGCCCCAGGGCCAGGTGGCCTCCTGTGGAGTGCCACACCTGCCCTGACAGCCCCCAGTTTGTCTGTTTGGCTTACACCTGTGTGTGCACATCTTACTGTTCCCAATAAAGTTGTTGAACAGCCTGTCCTCTCCCAGGAGGCACAGGAAGCAAGCAATGAACAGTGTCCTGGAGGATGCCTGAAATTCCAGTGGCTGTGGTGGGTGGGGGTGGGTTTTTTCCTGGATAGGGAGCAGCAGTGGTGTTGCTGTTGCAGCAGGGTCTGGCTCTGCACACCTGTAATGGTGTGTGCATGCACTGCAGAGCTCTGTGCCAGGGAACACCCACCAAGGGGTGCTGGGGTAAAGCTGATCCTGCCCTGGAGCTGCTCTGCAGCTCTGATCTGACTTCTATTCAGCTCACCCACAATTTTCCTGCAGAGAACTGTTTCTTGCTCCTTTTCCTGCTTGAACTCCTCTCTGCTTGCTCATCCATCCAGTTCTGTGCTCCAGTGTCTGGGCTGATACCACCTGGCAGGAATTAATCTTTCCGCCTGTTTTTGCTCCCCTTCTTTTATCTTGACCTTCTCTTGCCGTAGTATTTTACTGCAAAGGTTGGCAGCTCTCCAGGGTGGCATTGCCAGATGGTATTTCTCCTCTGAGTAGAGGTGGGGTGCTGTAGACAACAGCTCATCAGCATCTTTTCTCTGCAGGAAGCAATAACTCTCACTCCTGTTAAGTTTAGAGGGCAGCAAAAGCTGGGAGCCTTCCTCACTGCATATGCCTGGCTTGCTGCTGGCTTTGAAGCCTTCCCTGAGCTCTCTGGGATTCCAACTGCAGCATTCTCCCCTTGCCAGGATGAATCTTGGATGTCACTGGCAAGGCAAAGATGTGGTGCTGATGGGAGAGTGGCAGCAGGGGAGGAAAAGGTCGTGTGTGTGTAGGGAAAACCTCATCTTTCAGGCTGGGAAATGAGGTCTCTGCTCAGCAAGAGCAGTGTGATTCAGGAGGCTAAAGTGTTTTATAGCCCTCTGGGATCTCCTTTAGAAGCCTGGGTTTCTGCATGGGAAGATAAGAGGGATTTCAGTTTCAGCTGAGCTTTGGTCTCTCTTGATTTGAGACCTTCTGCACAGGCATTAAAAAAACCTTTCTGCTCCAGTACAGGACTGATGCAACTTTACTGGATTCCTACTGCCCTCAGTTTTCTGTGCTCTGGGATCTTCTAAAGGCAATTGTGGGCTGTAGCTGGAACCAGGTGCCCTCAGTGATGAGGACTCAAGTGGAAATGTGGGTTTCTTGGCTCTGCAGGTGCCTGTTCTCAAAGGGACATGGGGCTCTTTGTGCTGTGTGGATTTGACAGCTGTCACAGCTTTTGTGGGCTAAACCTCCTCTGCTCAGCCTAGACCTTTGTGCTGGGAGCCAGAAGGTTCCCTGGTGCTGGGGATCATGAATCCACATCTTGTAAAATGGGGCAACTTGGGGAAAGGCTTTCTGCCTGGGGATGGTGCTGCCCCAGTTAAACACAAAGGAAGGCTTTTTGAGCTACAACTCTGCTCCCTTAACATCTTTTTCTGCTTAATAGCAATTGGGGGGGGTATCCCATCCTCATGGTGGAGTGGCATTTGGAAGCTTAGCTCCCAAAATTACAGTTCTGGTGTTCACTCTCAGAATATCTAGATGCTCCCAGATCCAAGATCTGTTTGGGAGTGTTTTCCTTTAAAGCTACACAGAGCTCCAGCCCAGGATACTCAGGTTTTTTGGGGATGCTGTTGGAAGCACATGATTGGGTCCCTAATGAGGGATCTTGGCCCTTTGGGGAGAGCCTGTGCCTGGCTCACTGTTGGAAGAAGTGCAAGGAGCTGAGTGAGCTCTGCTGCCTTCAGTGGGGTCCTGCTGACTTGCCTACTGAAGGCCTGGCTCATCATTAAATATAAATCCCTGCTGCTCAGCTCACTCTGTTTCTTGGGGACCATCTGTGCCAAACTGCCTGTGGTTAATTGCATCTGTGTATTCACCTGCCTGGCTCGGATGTAAAACTGTTTTAAAAAATCAAATTGCACAGACAGAATGAAAATATGTCTAGATGAGCTTATCCTCCTCTCTGGTGGACTCTGGAGAGATGAGCTGGGTAACAGATATCCTCCTGCCTTGACTCCATGGTGAGCTTGGTTCTGCTCGCCCTTCCTAGTCAGAGAAATCCTATAAAGGGATTATAGGATATGGGGACAGGGCACAGCAGAGGATAAGACTTGCTTGTCTGGGGGAATTGATTATGTATTTTGTCTCTGCCTAGAATTTGTATGTCTCTCTAGCAAGCTGAGCACTGCAGATTTCTCTGTAGGGCTTCTGGGTACACAGAGCTGCTGGTTCAGCTGCCTTACTGAGGACCACCTCCCAATGCCATTCAAAAAGTGACTCTTTGGAAAGAAACCCCATTCCTTTTCAACTTGATTCCTGTGCTGTAACATCTGCCATGGTAGGTGTTGGCAGAGGTGACTGTACACCCCCAGTGTGGCAGCATTTGGCAGGTGGGGCTTTCTGAAGTGGCAGGATATGTGTGCCATGCTCCCTCTTCTGCAAAATCATTGCAGTTTTCAGCTGAAACCTGCTGGCTTGAGCACACCAGACTCTGGTCCTGTTGCTGTGGGTGAGGGTGAGTCTGTATCTGGCCCTGCAGGCTCAAGATTTGGTTCTCTTGTGTGCCACCACCCTGCCTGGACAGCAGGGGATCGTGGTATCACAGAATGGGTTGGGATGGAAGTGACCTCAAAGAGCCTCTCATCTCAACCCCTGCTGTGGGCAGGGACACCTTCCACTACCCCAGGGTGCTCCAAGCCCTGTCCAGCCTGGCCTGGAACACTTCCAGGGATCCAGGGGCAGCCACAGTTTCTCTGGGCACCCTGTGCCAGGGCCTGGCCACCCTCACAGGGAAGAATTTCCTCCTGCAGTCTGATCCCCTTGCTGGGACCGAGCTGCTCACACAGTTCAGGGGTCAGGAGGGCTGCTGGCTGTGGAGGGTGCTCAGAGCTTGATTAAAGCAGGAGCTGCTCTGGCTGCTGTGTGCTGGCAGGAGCAGCCAATAGCTCTGAAAATGGGCAACTTTAAATCCAGAGGAGGAGGCCTTAACCAAGTAGCTCTTGTGTGGAGTGTTCCCAATTAATTAGGATGGCTCTCAGCTGGCAGAGTTTGGAGTTTCATGTGTGTTTTCAGCCTGCTGTGAACCATTTTGTGTACCATAGGACAGTTTAGGTTGGAAAAATCCTTCAGGATTGAGTCCAACCTTTGACCAAAATTACCTCTGTGTCAACAAGGCCACGTCCAGTCTTTCCTTAAACACCTCCAGCTATGGTGATTCCACCACCTCCCTGGGCAGCCTCTTCCAATGTCTAATCACCTTTTCTGTGAAGAAATTCCTCCTGAATATTTCAGAATTTGTAGCCATTTACATAAATTTATAAAAGATGATGCAACTCCCCATTTTTTTTCTGAACTGTGTCACAGTAGAAGGGACTTTCTTTTTGATTTGGGGGATATGAAGGGTATTTTTCCCAGAAATTAAGGCTCTGAAGGGGATTGCTGTTTGGACCTTGACTGTGTGGATTAAGATCTGCCTCACTGAATCTCTACAACCCTGTTAAAATTTTGAATTAGGATGCAGAGGTGTAAATAAAGCAGGCACTTAACCCAGCATGGTTAACTAGGCTGATATTATAATTCCTCACCAGCTCTTTGGATATCAACTAAATTGGCAAGGAACAGAAGATTTAAAACAAAGCACATACAAAATGAATTATTAAATGGTTTTGGTACACACTTTTCTCTTGCTTCTTGTTTATTGCTACCACTGAAATGGGAACTGCTCTGTGTTGACCTCTATCTTCATCACAGTAGGTGGTGGCTCATCCCTCATTCTCCTTTGTAGCAGAAAATGGTAAGAAAAAGTGACAATTCCTTGTATCAAACCCAACTTCTTTCCCTCTCCTCTCTCTTCTGAAAGTGTTTGATACAGACATGCACAGTTTTTCTGCACAGCCGCAGCCTCACTCCGCTCATGGACAAGGATTCCTTCCTAATCTCCAATCTGACCCTGCCAGGTTGAAGCCATCCCTCTTCTGCTGTCATGCACTGGTCCAAATTCCCTCTCCAGCTCCCTTGGACCCCCTTTAGCACTTGGAAGGGTTTTCTAAGGTCTCCCTGAGGCTTTCCCATCTCAAGGCTGAGCACCCCAAGTTTTCTGTTCTTTGTGATGTTCTGGCACTGTTGTGCCTCCAGCAGGCTGGATGACATTTCTTAGTCTGACCCACCTTGGTTCCTGTTCTGACCAAGCTTTGTTTGAATTTTGAACTGTATTAGATTTTTCATTTGTCCAAGAAAGAGGGGTTCACTTAAATATCACTTTAATGTTGTAGCTTTCCCATGCTTATCTCCAAGCTTGAACAAAAACAGCAGATAAACCCCCACAGCTGCTGTTATTGAAATGTAATTGGGCTGTGTGAGTGAAAGTTTTTAATGAGTTTCTGTTTGTTTTAATCTGAGGATTAAGCAGTTTACCCTCCTGGCTCAGGGGAGGTGGGTTCAGATAAGCAGGGATGTGGCAGTAAGGCTCTGCAAGGAACATTTTCTGCTGGAGCTGCTCATGGCTGGAGTCCCTTGCCAGGCTGGAGAGTGTTGCTCATGGGGCTTTTTTTGGAAGCTGTTTTCTGCAGGGATGCTGCAGGAGGGGGATGAAGGATTTGGGAAGAAGCAGGAGCTCAGACTAGATGTGAGCTGGGTGGACTCAGTCATGTTCCCTTTGGCTCCTCTTAGTCCTCAGAGGGCTTGAATGCTTCTGGAAAAAAAACACCAACAGCCTTTCCTAATGAAAATGGAATGAGTGTCTCTGCTGGTGTTTTTTTTAGTTCTTTTGTTTGTTTTTTTTGTTTTTTGTTGGGATTTGTTTGTTTTGGGTTTTTTTGTGGTTTGGAAAAAAAATCCTACACCCACAGCCCTTTTCCTGGGGAAGGCATTTTGTTAG